TCTTGTAAATCTGTTTTAGTTTTTTGTAAATTCTGGGTATCAGCCCTTTGTCAGATGGGTAGATTGCAAAAAATTTTTCCCATTCTATTGGTTGCTGATTCACTCTAATGATTGTTTCTTTTGCCGTGCAGAAGCTCTGGAGTTTGATTAGGTCCCATTTGTCTATTTTGGCTTTTGTTGCCAATGCTTTTGGTGTTTTGGTCATGAAGTCCTTGCCTACACCTATGTCCGGAATGGTTTTGCCTAGATTTTCTTCTAGGGTTTTTATGATGTTAGGTCTTATGTTTAAGTCTTTAATCCATCTGGAGTTAATTTTAGTGTAAGGTGTCAGGAAGGGGTCCTGTTTCTGCTTTCTGCACATGGCTAGCCAGTTTTCCCAACACTATTTATTAAACAGGGAATCTTTCCCCATTGCTTGTTTTTGTCAGGTTTGTCAAAGATCAGATGGTTGTAGATGTGCTATGTTGCCTCCGAGGCCTCTGTTCTGTTCCATTGGTCTATATCTCTGTTTTGGTACCAGTGCCATGCTGTTTTGATTACTGTAGCCTTGTAGTAGTTTGAAGTCTGGTAGTGTGATGCCTCCAGCTTTGTTCTTTTTGTTTAGAATTGACTTGGCTACGTAGTCTCTCTTTTGGTTCCATATGACTTTTAAAGTGTTTTTTTTTTTCCAGTTCTGTGAAGAAGGATGGGCCTCCTCTGCATTCTCAGAGGGACCAGGAGGGCACCCATCGGATAACCCTGTTCCGGTTTGCAGAATCTCGTTTCCCCACTGGGGCCCTGACTTTCCTACAACAGTCGTGCCTTGGCTGAGTGTCAGACATCTCTGGAGTGCTGTGACCCTCACAATGATATCTGAAGCTGCTACTCCATGCTGTCTGCCCTTCCTCTACAGGAGATAAAGGACTGTCCATAAGACACTGCAGAGGCTTGCACACATAGCCAATGACTGCTGTTAACAATCCTCAGATCCTCATTATGCTTTCATAGACCGTCAACACAGCCGAGCAGTCACCAGTCAACTCCACTGTCTTTGCAGGTTTCCCTCTCACCCTGTCATTATTGTGCAGAGGCTTCTCTCATCACACCTGCCATAGCATCCCCTAACCAGGGCGTCTTCTCAGGTCAGCACTGGGCAGATCCACAGTTGCTCGGCTGCACCTTGTGCTGTGCACTTTCTGTGTCCTCCACTCACCGGGATGGCATTCTCTCGGCCGGCCAGGAAGTGGGTGAGCTCATCCCAAATCCTCTTGCTTATGCCTGTGTCCTTGGAACACTCCCGATACCACTCTTGTTAGTTAGGGTCCCCTGAGGAGAAGACACCAATATGGTATTAAATGTGCAAGAATTTATTAGGAGAAATTCTTGTGAGAGAAATTGGGGAGGAAGACAGAAAAAGCTGGGAAAGCCATCAGATGGTGATGCAAGTCTAAACCGCAGTGAAGGAGAGAGGGAGGGAAGGTCAGCTGGAAGCATCCTAGACCCAGTGCAGGCTAAGGGAAGTTCAGTAATGGGATCAGAGAGCCCTGGATCTCAGTCAGCCTTCACTGGAGGAAAGGTCTTGCCTTAATTTCCCTGCTATTCTCTACCATTAGCTGGAAGAAGCCCATTAGAGCATGGTTTCAGAGCAAATGTGGTGATTGACTTCAGGCTAGAACAGCTGGTACCATCATCAGCCATCAGTCCTCTAGCCTCAGATGTGCATTCTTGTGATTGCTGCATGGTCCAGTGGGGAGAGAAATAGTGATGATAATTAAAAAATAATTAAAAAAAGAGAAAAAAGCAATGGACTGATGGATTATCTTTAAGTAGATGAGATAGGATGAGGTTTGGAGCACCGGCGGAGGCGCTGGCTCTGTCTGGGAGTAGGTTAACCGACAACCACTGTCTCTGTGGTGGAAGGCCCATCAAGTGGCGCAGCTGTAAATGCATGAGCAGAGGGTGGAGGAATCTGTGAAATTGTCTTCTAATGTGTTGAGTTTTCTCAGTAAAGTAGGAAGCAAGGTCATCAGCTGAACTAAGAATGGGGAAGGAGGGTTGGATGTGTGGGCACAGAGAGAAGGTGTGTAAGAGTCCCCCAGGCCAGGAAAAGGCTGAGGGTGGGCCATGCGGGGAGAGGCTGATTGCTGGCCATGGTAGGGGCTCCCCATGAGGTTTGGGTCATGAAGTTAGAGCAGTCAGCATGTTGTGTGCTGCTCTCCAGCCTCCTGCAGCTCATGGGGGTGCAGCGTAGGCAGAGGTGGAATCCACCAGCTGTGTAGTTTTGCCAAGTAAGTGTGATAACACAAGGGAGAGGGAAGGGAGGGATGGAAATTATTTACCATAGAATCCAAAATCGGGGAGGAGGGAGTAGAGGACACCCAGGGCTGAGGGACAGTGGGGAGATGGCAGGATCACTAGATTTGGAATCCCGGGGGTGGGGTGTGTCAAAGGATTGCTAGAATTGATGTACTACAAGGTGGACACCAAGTGTGAAGTACAGGTACATACAGAATGAATTATTTTCTGATATCAAATTACAGCATATGATAACATGATAATATCTGTGTCCTCAGAGCCTGTGGCCACCCTGCAAGGGGATGAGTCGGAAGATGGTCAGAGAGAGGGAAGTGTGAGATTGAGAGTATTTCAGGGCTGGGGTTCTTGGCCAAAATGAGGCCTAGATGATGAGGACACAGGTCCCAGGCCCAGCAGAGGAGAAGGTCACGGAGGAGAGGAGTTCTAGGATCTCAGAAACCAGGGAGTGAGGCCATCCCCTCTGCTGTATGGGTGTCTATTGCCATCAAATAAATTACCACAAGCCAAGTGGCTTTAAACAGCCCCTTTTTATCATGTCACAGTCGTGTGGGCTGCAAGTCCCCCAGTCTGATGGGGCTAAGATCAAGAAAGGGTAGGTCTGTGTTCCTTCCTGGAGACTCGGGAAAAATCCGCTCCCAAGTTCATTCAGGGTCTTGTCTGAATTCACTTCCTTGTAGATAGGACTGAGGTCCCTGTTTCTTTTCTGGCTGTCATTTGGGAGCCATGCAAAGCTCCTGGAGCCTTCTTTTGGGTCCTCACACATGGCCCTCTGGCACATCCAGTCCCCCCGCTTGAAATCTCTGGCTTCTTCTGCCATGTCTTCTCTTCCTCCCTCTCCTGCGACATCTCTGACTCCAGCCAGAGCAGGCTCTCTGCTTCTAATGGCTCATGTCATTTGACTGGGCCCATGCAAATGGTCAAGGATCAGCTCCCCATTTAAGATCCTTAATCTTCATTACCTGAGTAATGTCCCTTTTGCCATGTAATTCAGCCTGTTCTCAGGTTGTAAGGACTGAAGCTGAACTTATGTGGGAGCCATCACTTAGCTCACCACATCTGTGTATGTTGAAGTCATCAAGATCAAGGAGACAGCACTTCTGGAGAGTGAGCCAGTGAACCAGGAGCTACAAGAGTCAGGATTGGGAGGAACGGCCTGGGTCCCACAGGGAATGGCTACCATGAGGGGAGTGGGGCCCTAATCTGATGACAGCTTAGGGAGGTTAGGGAAGAAGGAGGCAGAAAGGTCTCAAAACCACAGTGAGAAGTGAATCTAAAGGTCCAAGTCCCTGGGGAAACTCTCCATGTGGGAAAACTTTTGAAGGGTCTGTGTCCTCTGGGAAACCCAGGTTCCTGCTGGAGTTGCGAGGGGCAGGAATATCCTGAGAGAGGATGTGGAGGTTTTGCTGATCATGGGCTGAGAATTCCAGAGATGCAGTAGGAAGATTTCTGGAGTTGGGGAGGGAGGATGAGGGGGACAGAATAGGGGTGTGCAGAGCCTTGTGGGGATGTGAGTGCAGGGTGTTTGGGAGACCCAGTGTGACTGACACAAACAGGGAAATGTCATGAGGAGCTCAGTCCTGGTGGTGCTGAGGCTGTGGGAGACGAGGGAGGAGGAGCAGAGGTGGCTCTCACCTGGGCTCTGTCCATGGAGGTGAGGATGGTGGCACGGTTGGGTCTTAGTGCTATCTGGGCCTTTCTTGACCCCCTGATGATAGAATGGAGTACTTAGGCAGGGGGATTCTTAGAGGATTGAATCTTGACCCTGAGGAGAGGAAGTGAGCTCATTCCGGGTCTCAAGTCTACCCCGACACTTTCTGCAGGGGGTGCCACTTCTGGGTCGCATGTGTGACTCCAGCACGGGGGCCCTCTTCTGCCCTGCTGAGGGGACGGAGGCCCAGGGGAGCTGTGCTCAGATTTGATAATGCCAATACCTGTGTCCACATCTTAGAATATTATGTGGACATGGAGATGTTGTTTCCAAATAAAAGAAAACTGAGTAAATGGGAGCTTTAAAAACTGAGCAATGGAGAGTAGAAGAAAATGTTTCTACTTTTCTGTTTCCCAGAGTGTTGCCCTGAAGGAGCTGGAGAGAGAAGGGGCAGGGAGAACAGAAACCTCAGAGAGGGCTGGAGCTCCTGAGCGCTGCTCACCTCCACAAGGCAGACATTTGGGAAATTATTAAGACAATTTTACACTACTTTGAAATTTTGTAATATTAGGGAATTATGGTAACTCTCTTCAGTGTAATAATATTATTGTTGGAAAATGTGATTTTTTAAGAGATGAGTACTGAAGTATTTAGGAATGAACCAAATACCACGTTTTCACTTACAAGTGGGAGCTAAATGCTGAGAAAACATGGATGCATAGAGGGGAACAACACACACTGGGGTCTACTTGAGGGTGTAGGGCGGGAGGAGAGAGAGGATGAGGAAAAAGAGCTAATGGGTACTAAGGCCTAATACTTGGTTGGGTACTAATGGGTACAGAAATAATCTGTAAAAACAAAACCGCATGACACAAATTTATCTATGTAACAAACCTGCACATGTACCCCTTAAATAAAAATAAAAGTTAAAAAAAAAAGTACATGTCTGGAAAGATCATATGGTTGGTTCTGTGTTTTTTTTAAACCAAGTCACACAATCTCTGCCCTTCATTGGAGTGTTGATTCCTGTAGGTTTTGTCATTATTGTTGTGACAGGAACTTTGTGCAGTGGCAGTATCATAGCCAATGTGGTTCATCCGAGGTGCGATTATTGCTAATTGAAAACTTTTCCCAAGTCCCTGCCATGACGACTTGAAATATAGTTGGCATTGGCAATTTTTGTCAGTTTCTTTGGGGACTGAATAAAAAAAAAGACACGAAAGGTTTTTAGGTCTACCATGTTATTTTCCCAGTTTTAGTGTCTCTGTCCCTCTTGTCCAGCCAATGTCTTCTTATTAAAAAAGATAGAAACAAACAAACCAAAAACAACAACAACAACAAAAAACTAAGATGTTCTTTGAGGACAGGCAAAATAAGGAGATATTTCAGGTAAAAGAAAATTGAGAGAATTTGTCACCCACAGATCTGCACAGTATCAATTAGTAAAGAAAATTCTTCAAGGTAGAGGCAAATGCTACAGGCAGAAATTGAGATTATCAGAAAAGACGAAGATGACCAATCGTGGTCAATATTGAGCTAAGTGCAGAAGGCTCTCTTGCTCCCCTCATTTACTCTCACTTTGTATGCGTAGAACTGTTTAAAGATAAGAAAAAGATTTTTCTTGTGGGACTTACAGCCTGTACAGGCATATTACATATGATGCCTATACCATAAAAGATGTACATTTTATAGAGGATAAATGGTTGCAAAATTCTATATTTATGGATACTAGTTCATTATTAACTGAAAGTGGACTGTGAAATGTTAAGAATGAGTTAAGTTCTGAAGAAAATTGAGGCACAGAAAACTATACAAAAGATCAACAAATCTTGGAGATTAAAAAAAATAACCTAGCCAGTCTTGAATCTGATCATCCTATGATTTCAGAACTATTGTGAATACAAAAGTCATCTAAGAACAGTTTTGTGCAGAAAGAGGAGTTACCCCTAAATATGGTGGACCTGGGACAGCTGGCCCTCCCTGCTGGACCTCTTCCACGTGGGCGCTTTCTGCAGTGACTCTGTTGCCTTGCTATTCCACTCTACCCAGTGTCCTGACCCAAGAGACAAGGGGTGTCTGCTGCTGTGTCCACACTTGGAGAAGGAAACCATGATAGTGTCAGTACATTAGAAGCCGGGCATGACAGCTCACGCCTGTAATCCCACCAATTCAGGAAGCTAAGGCAAGACAATTGCTTGAGATCAGAAATTGGATGTCTAGGAGAAGTCGGATTTGATGACCCTTTTAAAATATCAAACAAAGGTTTTAGTTGACCCCTAGTGAGTTTAAGGCTAGGTCAAATCCAATTTAGATCTCCCCAAAATTTTTGAAAATCATTTAAAGTTTTTAATCGAGATGTATTCAATTTTGGCGTTATAAAAGAAACCTGTCGAGCTTCAATAATTTTACCCAAATAGTGATAAGGAGTAGTTTTTTGAATTTTTCCAGAGCTATAACCAGTTTAGCTTGTTGTAAGCAATGTTGTAGAAGCTGAAAAACAGAATGTAGAAGGGATTCTGAAGAAGCCGCAAGTAAAATATCATCCATATAATGCAAAATCAAAACATTAGGAAATTGTAAACAGCAGGAAGAATGGCTTTAGCAACAAAAGATTGACAAAGCGTAGGGCTATTGGCCATGCCCTGAGGTGATACCACCCATTCACACCTATCATAAGCTTTTTCATAGTTAGTGGAAGGAATGCTAAAAGCAAAACGTTTACAATCCCAGGGGTCCAAAGGAATAGTGAAGAAACAATCTTTCAAATCAATGATTATAAGTTCCCAATTTTGAGGAATAGCAGTTGGTGAAGGTAGGCCAGGTCGAAGGGGGCCCATTATTTCCGTTGTTTCATTTACTTTTCTTAAATCTTGTAATAACCTCCATTTGCCAGACTTTTTCTTGATAACAAAAATGGAAGAATTCCAAGGACTTTTAGTAGGTCTGATATGGCCTGCTTCTAGTTGTTTCCGAACCAACTCATGAGTGGAAGCAATTTTTTCCTGAGATAAGGGCCATTGTTCTACCCAAACTGGAGAGTCAGATTTCCAGGTGATCTCATCAGCATGAGTATCGGAAGGAACAATGGCCCCTAGGTAAAATACCCCAAACCTGTTCGGTCAGTTTTTTGAGGAAGAATTAAAGGTTCTGTAATTCCTTGTAAATTTTTTCCTAGTCCTTTTCCAGTTTCATATCCTTGTTTAGACATAATCTGCAGAGCTACGCTGTCTGTTACCAGTTTGGCTTCCAATATATCTTGTCCCCACAAATTTAAAGGAATTCCTGAGAGCACAAAAGGGCGAAAATACCCTGAATGACCCTCATCATCATGCCAAGAAAACAAATTTGCCAATTGTTCAGGATTGCTACTCATGCCAATTCCCTGTAGGGAAGTCATAGTACGTGTTTCTGCCCAATTGGATGGCCAATGTTTTGTGGAAATTATAGATACATCAGCTCCAGTATCTAACAATCCTTTAAATGATTTTTAATTAATCCATAATGTCATTTCAGGGTGAGAAGCAGATATAGACTGTATCCAATAAGCATAGTGAGATGAGCCAAAACCATTATCGTTTCTAGGAGAGCCTGATAACACTTTTCCGACAGAGGTGCAAACAGGAACAAGTAAAAGTTGTGCTATAGGTTGGTTAGGTAAAATAGTATAAATTCCTTTAGGAGCCCAAGTCATAATGCGTATTTCACCGGTATAGTCAGAATCAATAACCCCAGGAAGAATCTGTAACCCCTTTAGTGACACACTACTTCTCCCTAATAAAAGTCCAAAGTACCCCTTGGTCAAAGGCCCATACACCCCAGTAGGTAGGGCTTGGGGGCCCATTTCAGGAGTTAATACTTGTCTGGAGGAGGAACAGAGGTCAAGTCCTGCACTGTCTGCTGTTGCCCGAAAGAGCTGAGAAATGGATTTGCCACTCCGGATAGGGGATTGTCCTGTAGGATTGGCACCCCGAATTTCTGAGGGGGTTGGGACTGCCCCCTCTGGCCATTTCCCAACTTAGGGATTAGAGAATTACCTTGGGCGTCTCTTTTAGATCTACATTCATTCGCCCAGTGATTCTCGATGACAACGAGAACATCAAACTTTTGGATTCTTTGAATTTTTTTACAATAATTTGGAGAAAATTTAAAGGTAATAATAAAAAAATCAGGTGGGAAATGTTCACAGCATCATGTTGAATGAAAATTAAACTTTAAGGCCAGATGAGGTGGCTCATACCTGACCCAGAGCTTGGAGAGACTGAGGTGTGAGGGTCACTTTTGGCCAGGAGTTTGAGAGCAGCCTGGGCAGCATAGCAAGACCCCATCTCAACAAAATATTAAACAATTAATTGGGGCTGGTGGCAGGTACCTGTGGTTCTAGGTACATGGGAAGCTGAGGTGGGGGGATTGCTCAAACCTGGGAGTTCAAGGTTATAGTGAGCTGTGATCAAACCACCGCAATTTAGCATCAGTGACAAAGTGAGACCTTGTCTCAGAATAAGAAAAAAAGATAGAGATAAGAAAAAAAAAGAATATTAAGCATTTAACAGCATTCGAGCAAATGTGCATGAGAAGGTGTTAGTTGTATTTTGTGTGTGATTGTGTCGTTGTGTGGAGAGTATCCGTAAAAGAATGTCTGTCAATATGTGTGACAGCGTCTTGCATCTCTGTGTGTTGGTGTGAGTCTATGTGTGCACTAATTCATTTATTCATTCATTTCACTCAACAGGTACATTTAAAGTAACAATTCAAGGCAGGAGAAATACAGCTGTGAGCAATCAAAATTACTGTCCGTGTCCTTATAAAACGTGTATTCTAGAGGAGAGAAAGAGTATAAGCAATTAAAATAAATACATTCATAGGTTGGCACGAATATATGTAATCCAAGCACTTTGGGAGGCTGAAGCAGGAAGACCTCTTGAGGCCAGGAGTTTGAGACCAGCCTGGGAAACACAGTAAGACTCTATTTGTACCAAAAAAAAAAAAAAAAAAAAAAAAGAAAGAAAGAAAAATTACAGCAGTAGCTGAGTGTGGGGGTACACACCTGTAGTCCCCAGCTACTTGGGAGGCTGAGGTGGAAGGCTCATTTGAGCCCTGGAGTTCGAGGCTACAGTGGGCCAAGACTGCACCACTGCACTCCAGCCTGCGTGACAGAGAGCACAACTTGGTCTCTCAAAATAAATAGATACGTAGCCGGGCGCGGTGGCTCAAGCCTGTAATCCCAGCACTTTGGGAGGCCGAGGCGGGTGGATCACGAGGTCAAGAGATCGAGACCAGCCTGGTCAACATGGTGAAACCCCGTCTCTACTAAAAATACAAAAAATCAGCTGGGCATGGTGGCACGTGCCTGTAATCCCAGCTACTCAGGAGGCTGAGGCAGGAGAATTGCCTGAACCCAGGAGGCGGAGGTTGCGGTGAGCCGAGATCGCGCCATTGCACTCCAGCCTGAGTAACAAGAGCAAAAACTCCGTCTCGAAAAAAAAAAAAAAAGACACGTAAATGACTCTTAAATGTTAGTAAAAGGGTTGTGAACAAACACAAAGCAGGTTGGAGTCAGAGCGGATGGGAGATGCCACATGAAGTGGGCAGTGCAGGGACCGGCTCTGGTGAGAATGAGGAGAATGTCAGGGTGGGAGGGAGCCTGGAAATGAGCTTCCAGGCAGGGGAGCAGCTGTGCCCAGGCCCTGAGGTGTGGACACCTGGGCGTGCTGGATGAACGACGCCGTGGAGGGCCTCAGTCGGGCCCCCTTGCACAGCCACATCTGGGTAGACTGAGGCGGTCACTGGAGAGGGCCTTGCCAATAAGAGGGATTTTCACATAACATATTTTCAAAAGATTCTTCAAAACATTCCAAAGGTATTACAGGGGAAGTTTTCCTCCCTCCCCAGACCCCAGGTCCTCTGCCAGAAATGAGCACGTTGTCAAGTCTCATGCATCCTTCCTGGAAAGAAGTTATGCGCGTGTTATTGTTGTTACATGAAGAAGGAGCACGGAAAAGAAAGAAGGAATAGAAGAAAATGTTTCTTCTTTTCAGTTTTCCAGAGTGTTGCCGTGAAGGGCTGGAGAAAGGAGTTGCAGGGAGGAGACAGAAACCTCAGGGACGGCACAAGGCTCCAGAGCTTTCCCCTCCTCTCACCGCTGGGTGGTCCCTTGCTGCTCAGAGGCTCCTTCACCCGCACCGATGCTCAGCCCCGGGT